GCTGTTTTTGCACCCTCCGTCTGGGAACTTAACGGACTTGTGCCTGCCCATCGCTACCTCCACCCACCCCTGCCATCGGCAACAGCCATCGCCAAAGCCGAGCTCTCTCACATCCCGTTGCCCGGCTGGGTCTGAGCAGACTGGGGTCCTGCCTTCTGCTCCGCGGTCCTCGGCTCTGGAAGGCTTGCTGGGTGCCTGAGATGGTGTAACGTGGAGGAGTCTCCTGGGAGAGAGGGCAAGGTCCCAGCTCCGGCCTCCGCTCAGACTGCACTGGGGTCCCAGACTCTCTGAGCCCGGGTGGTCAGACAAATTCAAGCTCTCTGGTTGCCCTTTTCACTGCGGCCACTGAGCTCCTGCTCCCTGCTGGTAGGATTGGAAGGCAGTGGGAGTGAAGAAAAACGCGAGTTGCTTCCTCCAGGTGAACCCAGAGGCTGGTTGTGGGGAGCAGAAGGCTCCCCTCTCTGGGCCTCAGTCCCTCCGTCCGACCTCTCTTCGCAGTATTTAAGGGAACCAATGGCGAGAAAGCACTTGAAGCTAAGCACCTCCACTCCCACCCCCAGGCCGCAGAAAACATTTTACTTTAATCAAGTGCTGCTTCTTCCAGTTAGCTACATCTCATCTCTGCCCATGCATGGGTACGGCTTGAATTTCCCCCAGCGTGCCTTTTCTCACATCCAAGTTCGCCCTGAAAACAATGTAAACGACGAAAAAAACAATCTCAGGTCAGCGATGTGCTCCCACTTCATCCTCTGAACTCCCTGGAAGAGGGAGGACAGGTTGTGAATCCCCCCACTTAACAGATGGTAAACTGAGGCTTAAGAAGGGCAGCAGATGGCTCAAGGCCTCTGGACCGATAATGAACTAGCTGGAATCAGAGCTCTCGTCCCGCGGTGCTGCTGCGATTCTCGTTGTCCTGGGGCAGCGGCACTGCTGTGACCGGGGACCCCTTCATGGCAGGGTACTGCTCTGACGCTCGCTGAGGCCATACAGCTGTGACCCTGAGGGACTGTCCCAGAGTAACCCAGTCACTGTGCTGCCACTGCATTGAGATTCTGGGACCTTATTTGCAAGCAAAGGGGCCAGGAGGTTCCGTTGCCACCGGTGGTGAGGTAAGGGTAAGTAAGGCAAGTGGCCCAGGCCAGAGCATTAAGCACAAGTGAGGCTCTGAGAACTCAGGAAAAGGGGAGAGGCTGCCCACCAGGAGGTGAGGAGCACCGATATCTAAGTTTCCCTTTCAGCGCTGAACCCTCCCTGCACTGCTTTCAGCCAGCCCCTTGCCAATCCCAAGGTTTCCGTAAGGAGAAGAGCTGGTTACTTCTGAATCTGCATGAAGGGCACCTGAGTGGGTCGAGGGAGAGGGAGGGACTTTCCATGACTCCTTGGATCTCCCCCTTTAAATTTACAAATCCTTCAGGGCACTTCAGAGAAGTCATAGGGAGAAAGCTGTCAGGGGCTTCTACAGATCACCAGAATTTCTCCTACCCAGACCCACCCCAAAGCATCCCTGTACACACACACACACACACACACACACACACACACACATTGTATATTAAAATATCCTTCAAGGCAGCAGGGTTTTCCAAAGGGTGCTGGGGATACACACAGGACTGAAGGCAGACACAAAGCAGATGTAAATCACCCACCAATGCCAACCTACCCCTGCTGACTGAGGAATTTTGATTTCCAAGGGACTAGAACCTAAACAATAGCTTTCAAATGGTTCTCAATTGGGTTGTTACCCCCACAGAACATTAAGTAGCACCTCCCCAGAGAAGAGTGGAAGATGTGACCAGAGGAAAGCAAGGAAATGCCCAGACACTGAAGGATCTTTTTGTATAGTTTTGATCCAAACGGGTAAACTGTCACAGTCCACTCATCAAATCCTTTAATTCAAATTTTACATCGTGAATTCATAGACTCTTCAAAGTACAGAAATTTTAAATGCATCGTTAGAATAATACACTCATGGATTAGAATCTTTAGGATCTTTTGCTATGAAAACATTAGGATCTTGGGGTTTCTAATTGTGGGATGCTAACTCTTGGTCTGTTAGGTCACAGTAAAGTGTGAGAAAGAGGAATTGGGATTTTAGAATAATGGGTCCACTGACAAGAAACCCCGAGGATGAAGAAATCATGAGGCTTGAAGGTTTCTAACTTTAGCCATTAGACTTAAAGTACAGAATCATAAACTCATGTAACCAAATAAAAGTCATGACCGACCAAAGTCAATGGTCATGAATATTACAAGAATTATTAGAATTAGATTCTTTGAGTTAAAGAATAGTGGACCCAGTACTAGCATTTCAGGTGTAAGGAAGAAGAAAGTTGTGGATTAGGAGGAGCTAAATTTTCCAATTAGACATTCCTAGACAGAAATTCAAATTAAGTAATATATACCACCTTAGAGCTGCAAAAATATCTAAAATCTCAAGAAGTGGTATCAGATTTCCAGGCACAAAAATCTTAGTCCCAAAATCTTAAAATATGAGGAATATACTTTTATACTTTGACCAGAAGCTTAAAATCACAAGAATATTGTTACAGTCAAAGACTTTAGACTTCTGGTCATGAAACCTTAGAATTGCAGAATGTGGCTTAATTTATGGAATTAATTACGATAGTGATCCAAAATGTAAAGTTTGGAAATCTTATTCTAGAATCTTGGGACCACAAAATCAAGTATTGTAAGATTGATATGATGCAATCCAGTTAAAATAAAATAAAAACATTTTAACAGGTTTTATTTTCCCTTTGTAAAACATAACTAGATTAAACCTGGATTTCCGTGTCCGTGTTACTTTGGAAGAAGGAACCTGGGAGTTTTGCTGGGCGAGTGAAAAGCCCCACTCCAGTCGTTCTAGCGCCTACCCACAGCAAAAGGTCCTCATGCAAATCGTGCAATGGCTTCCACATTGCGAGCTGGCGAAGCAAGGGTCTGGGTTCTCTGCCTCTTTTTTCCAAAGACTGTTACCCAATGCTTGGCGAGGCTGAGCCTGCCCCCAGCTCTCCGCCACTAAAAGACTATAACTCCCAAAGGCTGTGCTCCACCCTGCACCCATAGCCCCGCAGAAAGCTGCCTCCGGGCAAAAGCCTCTGGATTTGCCTCCAAAGCCAGGAGTCCTAAGGATGGAAGAGAACTCCGAGCTCTGCGCGTGCCCTCCCACCCCTCTATTCACAGAGCAGAAAACTAAGGTCCCGCTTTCGCGGAAGGGACATCCCTAAGGTCTTTTTTTGCGGAAAGACCAAGTAGCAAACCCTGGCCGAAGGGGCTGCCGCCGCAGGGAGTCCCAAGAGAAGCCTGAGGCTCGCCTTGGGGGCGGGAGGGGGTGTTAGCTGGAAACCAGACACCCGCAAAGCAAAAGGGTCCCAGCAGCCCGACCCTTCCCGGGGAGGCGCGCCCACTCGGAGCACCCCGGGGCCATCACCCCTCGAAGCCCTTACTCTCCGCGGAGGAAGGGGCGGGCGGTTCCCGGCCTCCTAGAACCTGGGAGTCCTTGGAGCTCTCTCTGACCACGAGAGGGCGGAAGCCCAGCCTTCATCCCTAAGCTGCGCGCACTCACCACCGCACCTACAGAGAGGGGTTCTCCAGTCACCCTAAGACAGAAGATTGCAGGTTGAGGGCGGCCTTTCCCTTAGTATCCCCGTAACATCGGGCAATAGAAGGAATCTAGAGATGCAAACCCTCCGTACAGTGCGGGGTCCCTCGCCCCAAAGAGAGAGGGGCTGTCTCCAGCGCAGTCCGAACAGACACGGGTGTGAGGCTCCCCTCGCTGCAAAATCACCGCGGGGCTCTGGCAAGTCACCTTCCCTATCGGGTCTAGGAATTCTCCTCTGAACCATGAGGGACTGGACGGGGAATGGGCAGGCAAGTCTTGCTTGGGGTTTGTTTGCAAATCATTTTTGGAGTCGCCTGGAAAGTCTTCTCCCTTCCTGGTCCCCCACCCAACAAGAAGCGAGCGCCAGTCCTGGCCAGTTCTCACCCCCTGTGCACAAAAAGCAAAGCAGCCCCTTCCTTTCACCTGTGGGTCCCAGCGCTCTACAGAGGCTGGAAATGTCCGGGAGCGCTGAGCGCGGGCGCCGAGATCCCCAAGACAGTCCCTTGGCCTGAGTCTCCCCGTCGGCGGCGCGCAGAGGAGGCCGGCCGGCCGGGGATCGCCCAGCACCCTCCCCGCTCTGAGGTTCGGGGCTCCCGCCTCCACCACCGCGGCTCCTACCTGGAGAGGTGCGTCCGGGCGCAGGGGGCGGGCAGTCGGGGGGCGGGCGGGGAGCGGGCGCCGCCCTAAGCTTCCTGGCGCCTTTAAGGGGAAGAAGCCGGTGGAGGGAGGAGCCGGTCCGGGGCTGTGCAGCGGGGAGAGCCTCTCCGGCAGGGTCGGTGGAGGCCAAGGCTGCGGAGAGAGAGTCGCCGGCCGGCCGCCCTGCCTGCCCCGCGCCGGGACCTCGAGGCCCGCGCCTCGCCTCCCCGCCCGCTTCGCATCCGCAGCTTAGAGACCCCATCAGAGCGCACACGCCCTCGCTGGTTGCCCGTCTGGCCTTCACGACCTCGACGGTTATCCTCTGAGCAGCGGGAGCCCAGGCTCGGGGCAGGCGCCTCGGCCCCAGGACCGCTGCTGCCAGACCCGTTGACACTGCCTGTTGGCACCGGCGCCAAAGGACCGCTCAGCCCGCGACGGGGCCTCGTCCGGGTCCCAACGCCACTGCCGGCGCCTGGCCTCGAGCTGCCGAACACGAGCAGCGCCGTCCGGGGGCGGGACACGCCGCCGCCGCCCCGTCCCGCCGAGGCAGCCCGAGCGCCGCGGGAGCCGAGCCTGCAGCGCGCCCCCGCCGGGGAGGGAAGCCGTGCTCCGGCGCCCGCCCGCGAGGACCGCGAGGACCTGGGGAGCTCTCCGAGGAGCCCCGCGTCCTTCCCCGCACCTACGCGCCCGGCCTGCGGCTCTCGGACCCGGACCCTCCCCGACCATCGACGGAAGCGCACGGCGCGGACGCGACGGCTGCACCATGACAGCCGAGAGCGGACCGCCGCCGCCGCCGCCGCCGCAGCCGGAGGCGCTGGCTGCCGTGAAGGAGGAGCGCGGTGAGGAGGGCGCCGGGGTCCCGGCGGAGGCGGCGGGCCGCGGCGCGGGCGGGCGGCGGCGGAAGCGCCCCCTGCAGCGCGGGAAGCCGCCCTACAGCTACATCGCGCTCATCGCCATGGCCATCGCGCACGCGCCCGAGCGCCGCCTCACGCTCGGCGGCATCTACAAGTTCATCACCGAGCGCTTCCCCTTCTACCGCGACAACCCCAAGAAGTGGCAGAACAGCATCCGCCACAACCTCACGCTCAACGACTGCTTCCTCAAGATCCCGCGCGAGGCCGGCCGCCCGGGCAAGGGCAACTACTGGGCGCTCGACCCCAACGCCGAGGACATGTTCGAGAGCGGCAGCTTCCTGCGCCGCCGCAAGCGCTTCAAGCGCTCGGACCTGTCCACCTACCCGGCCTACATGCACGACGCCGCCGCCGCCGCCGCCGCTGCTGCCGCCGCCGCCGCCGCCGCCGCCATCTTCCCGGGCGCCGTGCCCGCCGCGCGCCCGCCGTACCCGGGCGCCGTCTATGCGGGCTATGCGCCGCCGTCGCTCGGCGCGCCGCCCCCGGTCTACTACCCGGCCGCGTCGCCGGGCCCGTGCCGCGTCTTCGGGCTGGTGCCCGAGCGGCCGCTCAGCCCCGAGCTGGGCCCCGCGCCGCCGCCGCCGCCGTCGGGCCCCGCGGGCTCCTGCGCCTTCGCGGCGGCCAGCGCCGCCTCTGCCGCCGCCGCCACCGGCTACCAGCCCGCGGCGGGCTGCGCGGGCGCCCGGCCCGTCAACCCCGCCGCCTACGCGGCCGCCTACGCGGGCCCGGACGGCGCGTACCCGCAGGGGGCCAGCGGCTCCCTCTTCGCGGCGGCCGGCCGGCTGGCGGGGCCGGCCTCGCCCCCCGCGGGCGGCGGCGGCGGCAGCGGCGTGGAGGCCGCCGTGGACTTCTACGGGCGCACGTCGCCCGGTCCGTTCGGGGCGCTGGGACCCTGCTACAACCCCGGCGGGCAGCTCGGAGGGGGCGGTGCAGGTGCCTACCACGCTCGCCCCATGGCCGCCTACCCTGGCGGGGTGGATCGTTTCGTGTCCGCCATGTGAGCCGAGCAGACGGTGGGAAAAATTCATAGGTGCCCTGGCTGTTTACACAGAGTATCCCCAAGACTGAGGACAGGACCGGAGAGAGGGCCCAAGTGAGGGCTCCGGAGAAGAGGAGCGGACAGGAGAGTCAGCCTCCCTCCGAGGGCATCGCGTACACACCCGGTTCGCTGTGTACATGGGAGGAGGACGCTGGGAGAGGCGGCTCAGCTCGCGGACTGGGACAAAGGACCCCCCATCGGGTGACGCTCCCAAAGACATGCCTTTCACGGGGCGCAGTGTCGTGTCCACACCAGACTCGAGGATCCGAATCACATGACTTCACTCTTCCCCGTGCGGCGGGGAAACATGGGCCTTTTTACACGGGTTCCACCTCATGTGCCTTAAAACTATGTTACTTCAATAAAAAGGCTCCAAATAGCGCCTTACTTTTAAGGTGAGGAAGACAAGTTGGCAAAAAGAAGTAGTTTTGTTGTTGTTTTCTTTTGTTTTGCACCTGGGGAAATCGCTCTGCTTTGCCTGGCCTGCCGCTGGTTTGCCCTGCCTCTGAGAATAGCAGATATGGCGGAGTCTGGACTGTGTCTCAGCTCCAGTATGACCCAGTACCATTACCCATACCCCAGTCTCCCAGCTGTTACACAAGAGGGCTTCGGCATTCCCATGATCTTTAAGGGCCTAGCACCGTGGATGCTGGCCTGTATGTTTGGCAGCATTCGTGGGCCACCCAGGGCCTAAACTAGCCCTATTGCAGGGAATTAGAACAGAGCCCATGGCAAGCATCTAATCTAAAGTCTCTGGATTCGCTCCAGGCCGTCATTATATCATAATTTCTTGAATCTTTTGAGCATGATGTGCTGATCATTTGGCAGCTGTTTCATCTGGGTCCTAACTGTAGTTTTCCAGTGAAGCAGGTAGAAATACATTTGTCCATGCTCCACTCTTCTTTTCATCAAGCAGCCCTGGACCCAGTGGATGAACTCAAGTTCAAAGGGGTGACAAGGATTCAGGGGAGCCCATTAGTGACGCTTTCAGTTTATGGGGTTGGCTGTTCCCATCCCTGGCACCCTCTGCCACCCTCTCCCCGTGCAAAAAGGAAAGTGAAAAATTAATTGAGGTGGTTGGTGAAGTAAGCTTTAGAAAGAAACTAGATTTTTTAAAAAATTTTTGTTTTGTATCCGTTTGTTTTGAGAAGCAAGCTAACTAAAAGCAGAAATCCAACAACTTTCCCACCTTTCTCTTGAGAAATCTTGTAAGGTTAGTATTTCAGAGGCTCGGGTGCAGCTTTCAAATGAACTGTTTTAATAAAAATCTTTGCGCAAGTGAGTTCCGGCAAGAGAAACTCAGCCTCTTTCTGCATAGTTAACTTGGAAGGGAAGGGTGGTGGTATGAGAAAAAAAAAAGACTGAAAACCACTGGTACTTATTTTTAATTTGTGGGATTTCGCTGTCCCATACATATGCATACGAATGTGATTCATTCCAGGCGGGTATTTGTCTAATTCAGTGTTGTCCAATAGAAAAAGAATGCAAGCTACATGTGTAATTTAAGTTTTTCTAGTAGTCACATTAATAAAAGAAAAAAAAAACAAGTGAGGTTATCTAATAATATTTTGTATTTAAACCAATATCATATCCAAACTATCATTTCAACATATAAGCAATATAAATATTGTTGAGATGTTTTATTTTTTTTATACTAAGTCTCCAAAATCTGGAGTGTATTTTACAGCTTTAGCTCATCTAAATTTGGACTAGCCACATGCCCCGTGCTGGGTGGGAGTGTGTGGCTGCTGACTACTGCGCTGGACAGTACAGGTCTAGATGCTGGCCCTTCCTGACTTTGGTGGAGCTAAATGACCACCTGGAGGCCGAAGGTGGCAGGAGCACTGACCCTGCTGACCGACCGTGAGTCTGGGTTCGAGTCCCAGCCTTTTGAACTTGGAAAATTCTAGGGGTTGGTCATCATCTCCATATGGACCTGTGCTGCTATGAAATGGTATGAAATTCAAAGGTTCTCCATGAAGAGATAAACCAGGACGCCTTGCCTAGTTAGTTGGAAGCCCTGGAAATAGAGAGCCCTCCACCAAGGGTTTTGTCCTAGGCTGCTAACAGCCCAGCAGGGGATCTGGGCTGGGAAAGGATGGTCTATGAGCCCTGTTAGTACAGGAGTGTACCCTTTCTCTGTGTTTTTTTAAATTACCAAGTCATTTGACAGCACCAATAACCTTAAGCCATTGTCCTAATCTGTGTACGGGGAATGTGTGAATTCCTATCTCACAGAGTCCTTCTAAAGTCGAACAAGACACCAGAGGTGAAAAAAACTCTCTGTGAACAGACAAGTACCAGGCACAGGAAGGAGGAAAGGCTTTAAAATAAAAAAAATGCCACCTTATCCCCAAGCCTTCTGGAGCATAAAGCCCGGGAAAGGAGAAAGATGGAGTGTCAAGTGTCCGCGCCTTCGTCCCCCATGCTCTTGTCTGCTAGGACCACAGTCCAAAGCCAGAGTCTGTGCCCACAGAGGACGCAGCGAGGAAGGGACTTGGTGTGAACAGCGGGCACGGGGAGAGACCCTCGAGGGTTGGGATCAAGGCTTTGACAAAGGTCAGTCCTCCAAACACCCAAAGCTCCAGTGCCACCGGGGGTGGCCTGGCTGAACGGACGAGCGAGCACCCGCTCGGGCTTCGGCGGGGGTAGGGAGACCCTCCGAGTGACTGTAGGCTCTTGAGAACATTTCACTGCAGCATTTTGGAAATTCCAACTCCAAGAACCCCCCAAACCGTGGGACAGGACCTCCCGCTTCCCCATCTGGGGGCTCAGAGAGGGAGGTGCGTTTCTCTTTAGTTTTTTTTTAGTTTTTTCTTTTTTTTTTTTTTTCTTTTCTCTCTCTCTTTACTTTTCCTTCTTCCTGTGATAAAGCCAGAAAAATCGCTGGCCCCTCTCTGAGCCCCACGCCCCAGCGCTGTGTGCAGGCGCCCCCAGGCCCTGCGCAATTAGAGGCGTTCTTACCTAATTGCCCAAGGCTCGTTAGAATTCGCCCCAGAGCTGTAATAACATTTATTCTCTTTCAAATTAACTTCGCTCGCAATTAAGCTCAGGAAACCGGCAACAAAAGCAGAATTTGGCCCGAGGTCGTTTACCCGAAAAACGGATTAGGGCACCTTCTTCCCCAGTTTTAGGGGAAAGATTACAATTGCCAGGGCAGAGGTGAGTGGAGCGCGAGCTGCTCAGAATGGCTGATGGTGAATCCTCCTCATCCCGGTGATTCGTGTGCCCAGAAGAGTAAGAGTAACTGTTGAAATGAATCCGTGCGATTAGAGCTGAACTAAACAGCCATGACGTGAGGCAGCGACATGTAGTTCCAGTTTACTCAGCACATTCATACATCACCGTATTTACTAAGAACCTTGTGAGAACTTTCTTTTACTAAAATTAAATTTCTTTTTAATACAAAATTGGCACACATTCATTTATTTTTTGAAAGTTAGAAAGAAGAAATGTCAAAGGAACCCATAGCTCACTAGGAGAAAGCACAGTAAACACCCCAGAATTTTTTTCTAGTTTTTGTTTTTCCTGGGTAGGAAGCCTGTGCCGGAACTTTGTCACTGAAATGCTGAGATCTTTTTTTTTTTTTTTAGTAACTTTTTAATTTTTCAATCACGGTTGAAATGCTATGAGATCTTGAACAAGTTTCTTCCTGCACTTGGGTAAGCCTCAAGTCCCCTTTCATTCTCTAACTCCTCTTTTCTTGGTCATTTGAATCCCGGATACAGTTCTCCAAGGGCCAGGAACAGGCTTGGAGAGAGACTTAGAGCTGAGGCGTGCCCTCCCTACCACTTTACACAAGAGACCGAGACCCTGAGGCCGTGCAACTCTTAAGTGGAGGCCATAGGCCAGCTGCATGGACAACCCCTGGGAACTGGCTAGACATGCAGAGTCCTGGGCCCCAGCCCAGATTTACTGGACCAGAACCTGCATTTCAACAAGCCCCTCTGGTGATGCATTTGCCCTAGAGCAGTGGTCGGCAAATCGCGGTTCGAGAGCCACATGCAGCTTTTTGCCCCTTGAGAGTGACTGGGCCTTAGAACCACTTCTTCAAAATAGACTCGCTCAGGCCGAAAACTGACTTTGGCACACAGGCCACAAAGTTTCAATTGCACTGTACATGCGTGCCCGCATGTGGTATTTTGTGGAAGAGCCACACTCAAGGGGCCAAAGAGCCACATGTGGCTCGCGAGCCACAACCACTGTCCTAGGCAAAGAGGTAGAACATTAGAAAAATGGGGGTGGGGAGAAATGTGCTATCAGAGGTCCAGAATAACTCCCAGGAACCTCCTGTTTCTGAACTTCCTGAGAGCTCTCATCACTTAAGTGCCCAACCAGACTAGAACCTGTGTCTCCCCCATGGGAGACTATTTGATTATCATTTTCATACAAGGCAATGTGGGAATGGAAGAAATCATATGGAGGAAGGAGAAGGAAGTTCAGGGTTAGACCCTCCCTTGTATGGATGGGTATAATCTGGGCCCAGGACTGCTTTACTAAATAGTTTAGGACAACCCAAAGGGACAAGCACTAACCCAAAGGCTAGTGCTTCTCAGCCCAAACTGAGCGGTGAACTAAAGAAAAAATGGGTGGACAGATCGGGGGAAGGATAGGAGGTCCTTCATGAGTTTGCCACTGGTCATTCCCTGAGCCTGCTCTCTCTCAGCAGAGCTCCTGGGAGAGGATAACTGCTCTCCAGAATTCCCAGTGCCCCTCTGTCAGCCCTGCAATCCCCCTTCTGAGAGCTGAGGCTCACATCTCCAGCTCAGCCCTAACGGGTTAACCAGGTACAAAAGAAGGTAGTCAGGGATCGTCTGTCAGGCCCTCCCAGGTGAGAAAGGGATTGGGAAACTGGAATCAGGGTGGATCTCAGCTTTGGTGGAAAGAACCAGCTTATCTCACCATCTATGTGTGGGCAGAGCAGACCCTCAGCCTTGGTTTTTCAGGCTTGGAGGCACTCAG